CTCCCTGTGGTTCGACCCCGGTCTTGCCGGGTTATTTATTACTTCGACACTCCTGCACTTGGGAGAAGACATCAATCTTTTAGTCGTGTCAAGCAGCAAATGCTAACTCGTAGCAGATAACTCAACTTCGACAGCGAATCACAATTTCGCTACAGCCAACTCAACTTCAGCAGCGATTTGCTACAGACAACTCCACTATGGCAGCGAATCATAAATTCGCTGCAGAACATGCCACTCGACAGTGAATTGTTAATTCGCTGTGGACGACATAGTTTCGGCAATAAATCACAAATTCACTGATCAATACACAATTCGGCAGCGAATGCTAATTCGCTGTAGAAGAATCAGTTTTGGCAATGAATCACAGATTCACTGTGAACAACTCAGTTTCGGCAGCGAATGCTAATTCGCTGCAGCCGACATAGTTTCAGCACCGAATCACAATTTCGCTGCACAACACAATTCGGAAGCGAATGCTAATTTGACGTAAAAGACTCAGTTTTGGCAGCTAATCATAGTTTCGCTGCACAACTCACACAGCCTTATATTTCCTTTCATTTACTTAGTTAACTCTTATCTTATTTATGTTCTTATTTTATTTATTTATTTTTCTTTCTTTCATTATGTTTAGCTAAGTTTATTATGTCAAGGTGAAAAGGTTACATTAATAGTGTAAGAATAAGTATACTGTAAACTCAATATGGACTTTAATGTTTGATACTAATATGTTTTGTATTTGTTATCTTGTTTACTCTTTAATATTTTGCTTGTTAAATGACTAATCTTGATTTATGTTGTATAACACTTGGTACAACAAATACTTGGCACTTTCATAGTTCATACTGTATGGTATAACCGACACCTGTGCTATGAAAGGAACTTGATTTGTTGTTAACATAAGTTATAATCATAAATGCCTAACGAGATTTACAAGTACTAGCATTAATTGAATAAGATAACTAATGTGATCATGTTAACAATTTATAATCTGATTGGAACCTTCTTTATGTGTGGTTTCTAATTGACTGTGTGGTTTCCAATTGAATAATAAGAGTTTATACTATACTTGTTTGACATACCATTACTGGATCCTCTAACCTTGACATTTGTTGTTATTATTATTTAATCCTTACGTTAATCTTCCATCTCAATGTTCTCATTAACTTCTTTTTCTTCTTCTTTTTCTTATTTTATTATTATTACTACTACTACTACTACTACTACTACTATTGTTACTATTGTTGTTGTTATTATTGTTGTATTATTGTTATCTATAATTTATACAATTAACCTTCCTGTGGTTCAACCTCGATCTTGCTAGGTTATTTATTACTTCGACACTCCTGCACTTGAGAGAAGACATCAATCTTTTGGTCATGTCAGATAACATCAGAATTGAAACCACTTGAAAATATGAAAGTTCTAGAAAATTGTCTCAGCTTTTCAAGAAAAAAAATTGAGTTCATTTGGACTTTTAGAACTCCAGATATTTCGGGCTACAAGATAGATTCAAACTTTTTTGTTATTACTACAATTTGGACTTGAAAATGGCCTTTTTAAATCTTGAGCTCCCATGAAAGTTGTAGGCCTATGTCTTACCTTTCCATCTATATAAAGTAGACCTAAATTCGAGATCTACAACTCTAGATATGACCCAATTACCTAACAGTGTTCTGGTTTGGACTGCACCAGCATCTCTTTTATATGTTTGGCCATCTCTTTGTCCTTTCAATTTTAGTTCTTAAACTCATCAATCAATCCTTTTATTTATGTGATAAGCTTGCATTTAAAATGAACATTTACCACAAATTAAAGATATCTTCTATTATTAGATATGTTATTATAAAACATACTTTAGTTAAGGAGTTATTAATACTTTAAGTGCAAAATGATGATATAAAACCTTGAAAAAAATGCACTTTTAAGTACTAATCAGTGACAATCTTTATCTTCTTTTCTGAATAAAACATCATTGCTAACATCAGAATTTAAATAGACTATCCTTATGAAAGTTCTAGGAAATTATCTCAACTATCCAACAAAAACCAATGAGGTCATTTGGACTTCTAGAATTTTAGATATGGGATGAACACTCAACAATATCTGCGCTGCAGGATATATTCAGACTTCTCCATTGTTGTGATAATTTAAACTTGAAAATGGCCTTTTTGAATTTTGGACTCCTTATGAAAGTTTTGGGCCTATGTCGTAGATTTTCATCTATATAGAACATATCTAAATCCAAGTTTTACAGCTCCAGTTATGATCCACTAACCGAACAGTATTTCAGTTTGGATTGAACCAGCATCTCTTTTCTAAACTTGGTTATTTATTTGTCTTCTAAATTTCAAAAGTTAAACTTATCAATTAATCCTTTTATTTATGTGATAGACCTGCATTTAAGATAAACATTTACCTTAAATTAAAGGTATTTTATATTTATTAGATATGTTATTATAAAACTTTTTTTAGTTAAGGAGTTATTAATACTTCAAGTGCAAAATAATGATATAAAACCTTGATAAAAATATATTTTTAAGTATTAATCACCATTGCTTCTCTTTTCTTTGTGAGGTGTCATATGATCTTGTTTGGGCACTAGGTTGTATAAATACCCTAAACCACCCACACAACAAAAGACAAAGTAATTTCTTCACTATTACATGAAATCCTTTTCCTCTTTTTAACTCTCTCTATTTTCTTTTTTATCAATTCACTAACTTAAGCATGTGGGGTTCCTTTATTAAACAAGGGATTTGTTTTTACAAAAAGTACCAAGCAATTCTTCCCAATCTAATAACTTAATCAAACACTTAAACTTAAAAATTAGTTATGGAAAGTCTAATTTCTCTGTGAAGTTTCAACAACTTATTAACAAAAACCTAAATCCTACAGGAACAATACTTATTGTAAAAATGCCTTGATTCATTATAGATTATAATATTAAAATTACTATTTTGCCTTTAAAAAACTAAGCTATCTATTAAGGGTAATTGAGTATTTTCACATGGTTCATTTGTAATTTTAGAATTGATTGAGGGCAATTTAGTCTTTTCATATTTTTTTTGCATAATATAATTACTTAATTGGCCTTCAGGGGCTTATTCTTACTTTCATTTTAGTTTTTTGTGATTATCATGTGGTCTTATAAAGCAATTCAATATTTTAATAAATATTATATAAATAAAAAAAATATTACTGTTTATATTAAATACACCAACGAGTAAGCTGCTTTGTAATGTTTAAGCAACATGTGTGATGACCATAAATAACCTTTCTTGATGTTTTTCAATTCGTCATGGTAAAGCCTACCTCTTTAATAGCACCAGTGGTGTAATTCCCCTTATTTTGGCATTGGTTTTCTTTTCTTTCTCCTCCTAAAATCTAGTGGCTGACTTCCTAAACTTCATTACAACATTTTAAATTTGGTTTATTTTTTTAATTAATATTTTTTTATTGAAATTATTTTATAGAATTAAAATTCTTTTAATGTCATTATTTTTTAATATGCAGATTTGGTCTTTTTTTATTACTATTTATTTTACTTAAGATCATTTTTAAAAATGAATTTTTTTTAATGATTTCACCTCCTTCATTTTTTATTAAGATTTTTTTACTTTGATTTTTAAAAAAATTTATACTTTTTTTATTGTATTATTCAACATTGAATGAAACTTTTTGATAAAGCTCAGGTATATAATTTAATGGGTTGTAAATTTGAGAGATTAACCCTGGTTTAGGAGATTTGTTCGTTTTTATTTATTATTTTCTTAGATCAATTTTTTACAATTTTATTATTCTACATTTGATTTAATTGAAGGTTGAGGTTCATTATTTTTTTTTTTGTGTTCTATAGGATTTTTTACTAATTTTAAAAATAACCTGAGTTATGTCGAGTCTTTTTATTTGTTGTTATTTGTTAACTTTAGTATTTTTAGAAAAGAAATTTTGGTTTTGATTTAAAATAAACATATTGCTTAAATATAAGCATTTAATTCTTACTTTATGATATTTTTGTTTATTTAAATATAGTTTTTTTAGGTCTTTTTAGTTATTATTTTTATATATTTTTGACCTTCAATATTTGGTTGATAAAAATAGGCTCTCTATTTTGATTTGATTTAAGTTCCATGTGGTTATTATGGTCTCATGACTCGAATCATGGATTAACTATAGTTGGTTCAAGTTGAAGAAATATATTATTGTTTTAATATTTATTTTTATAAAAACAATTATATTGTCTAATAAATATTATTTTAATAATTTAAAAGTATTGTATTCAGCATGCATTAAATTTTTACTTTCTAATATTTTTATAATTTTTTTAAAGATTAGAAAAAAAAAAGTTGACCTACGTAGTAGAGTGAAACAATAATCTAGTCATCTACCTTTAAAATGTTGATTTCATGACAAAAAAACATGATAACAGCAAAACATTAAAATATTTATTTAACTTGATGAATAAAAAGTGTGTGTTATACTCTATGCAAATTAGTTATTCTTTCATTCTTTTAAAAGATAGTTATTTTTGTTGTTCCTTTTTAATTTTGAGTTCTTTAAAAAATATAGTTATTTTTTTTTATTTTGAGTTGATATTAATGTACATATTTTTTAAAATAAGGATATTTTTTTATAGAAAAATATTAACTTCAATTTATATTGGAGTGATTTAGAATCTATTTGAAAATATGGTTGTAAATATTTATTTTTTAAAATATTTCAAAATAATTTTTTTATTTTTAGATAGAATGAGGGAGAATAAAAGTGAAAATCACAAAGCAGAAATAACCCATGGATGCCCCCAAACTAATCCATTATTTAGCTCCCAATTAGGGAGGATCGGGCTGTCCGGATCAGATGCTTTGAAATCCAAGTCGAAAGACCGCATTGTACCGTTGTCGCTCACCACATCTCCCTCACGTGACTGACCCCACCAAACATTTGAATTCGGACTTGAAGCGCCTTTCCCTTAATTCCACTTCAATAATTTTATTCAATTCCGTTCTCCAACATCGTTTCAAAAAAACCCACCTCCCCCCTCTTCTCCCGTCCTTCCTCCCTTGTCTCTCTCTAATTATCTAAAGCCTCAACAACCCCCAAAAAATTCAACATCACTGTCTCCTTTCTCAGAAAAATCAAATTTAAAAAATCCATCTCCCTCAGGCAGCTCACTGATCTCAGATCCCTGTTTCATCAATTAATGCGTTACCGGAAACGTTAGCGTTGATTTAAATCTGTCTCTCACTTTCTCTTATTTTTGTATTTTAATCTGACTTAGGTTTTCAACTTTGGATCTATTTTAGGTTTTTCTATCTGGATCGATTTTGAAAAAAAAAACAAGTGATGGAGAGTTCGGAGTGCGTGAGAGTTGCCGTTAATATTCGGCCGTTGATCACACCAGAGCTTCTCATTGGTTGTACAGACATCATCACCGTTGTTCCTGGAGAGCCGCAGGTATTGAATCAGCCTTTCTCTCTTTCAGTTTTAATTTCTTTACATTTAGATTTCATTTATAAATATAAATATAAATATAAATATAAATATTGACAAGAAAAAGGTTATTAAATTATTTTGTCAAATTCATTGTTTGGATGATGATAATGATGAATCAGCTTCAAATCGGCTCGCATTCGTTCACTTATGATTATGTATACGGGAGTACCGCGTCACCTTCTTCAGAGATTTTCAATGATTGCGTTGCTCCACTGGTTGAGGCACTTTTAAATGGCTACAATGCCACCGTCCTCGCCTATGGCCAGGTTTAAATTGGATGTATTTCTTCTTGTTTGTTACAGTTTGTGTATTATGTGTATGATTCTTAACATGCTTGTTAAAAATTAGACTGGTTCGGGGAAAACATATACAGTGGGGACCAATTACTCTGGAGAAGGAAGTGATAGTGGAATTATACCAAAAGTAATGGATAGTATATTTAAGAGAGTGGAGGCTGCTAATGAATCGTCAGAGTTTTTGATACGGGTTTCATTCATCGAGGTAAAATTATATACTTCAATGCGATAATTCTTTGAATACTTGTTGTAGAACCATGTGCTTATTTTCTGATGCTAAATGAACAGATATTTAAGGAAGAGGTGTTTGATTTGCTCGACACCAATTCGGCAGCTTTCTCTAAAGGTGAATGGGTGAATGCGGCAAAGCCTGCAGTGCCTTCTAGAGTTCCAATTCAGATCAGAGAAACAGCAAATGGAGGGATCACACTTGCTGGTGTTACTGAAGCAGAAGTTAGAAGTAAAGAGGAGATGGCATCTTATTTGTCGCAAGGGTCTTTATCTCGTGCAACTGGCAGTACTAACATGAACAGTCAATCTAGGTTTGGATTTCACCATGTCACTTACTCTAACTTAGTTTTTTTGTTTGTTCTGACATAATGTTGGTTTCAAAGAACTCATGGTTTGAAATTGGTTGATGAATAAGCATTTGCTGACTCTCTCTCTCTTTTTTCACTTGAATATTTCATTTTGTCCAATCCAACTAAGCAACTGAACATTTTTAATGCAATTGTTAGCTAATTTTCCCTTTTCTTTATGAATTTTCTCATCTAAAATTCACAATGTAAAACATGTGTTCCATTATTTCCCAGTCGCTCGCATGCTATATTTACAATTACCATGGAGCAAAAGAAAATTTCTTCCTGTCCAATTGGAGCAAATAATGATGACATCGGTGATGACATATTATGTGCAAAACTTCATTTGGTTGACCTTGCTGGATCAGAACGTGCGAAAAGAACAGGTGCAAATGGCATGCGTTTCAAAGAAGGTAGTTCCAATGTTTTTCGTTATAATGCTAGAGCCTTTAAACTTAATAATTCCTGATATGATTCAGTGGGCATGATTCGTGCTATTGTAGCAATGTTTGTTTTATTTTGTTTATCCTGTTACAATTTTATGAATTTTTCATGTTTTAGGCATCCATATTAATAAGGGTTTGCTGGCCCTTGGAAATGTGATAAGTGCACTGGGGGATGAGAAAAAAAAGAAAGAAGGGGGCCATGTTCCTTATCGCGATAGCAAGTTGACACGCTTGTTACAGGTGCCTTCCTTTCCTTTGCCATCTTGTTACTTTTAATTAAGCCTCTAATCCTTACACAAAAACTTGTAACTATTTCATGATCCAAATGATTTCTGAATCATGTGGATGAATCATTTATTTCTGAAAAACCACATAAACATAAACATAAACATAAACATAAACAAAAGTGGTATATGATGGATGGCTTTCAATTTCTCAAGAGGGATATTTCATTGATTGTGGTGAATGTATGCTCTACATTGTGATTACTTTTAGTTTAAAGTATGACATCTACTCTTGATAGAAGCTTTCTTATTACTGTCATTGGAATTTGAATTTCTAGGATTCTTTGGGAGGAAACAGCAAAACAGTGATGATTGGTATGTCATGTATCACCTTTATGTATCACAATGCTTAGAGTTTATTTTTGCACTTTAGATTTCTGCCTTCAACAGTTTGTCGTATTTATTATAGCATGTGTTAGTCCTGCTGACTCAAATGCGGAGGAGACCATGAATACATTGAAGTATGCAAATCGTGCTCGCAATATTCAGAACAAAGCGGTGGTAATTTTTCCTTCTTCACTTGTTTGTTGTGCTTTGTTTTGTCATGGCTATCTTTTCATGCTTAGCATTTTTCTACCTTGTTCTTAGGTCAATCGTGATCCCATGGCTGCTCAAATGCAGCAAATGAGAAGCCAAATTGAGCAATTACAGGCTGAACTATTATTTTATCGTGGTGATGCAACCATTCCATTCGACGAGCTTCAGGTATGGTTCTGATAAATACCACCACCTGCTCCTTATCTTTTAAATTCCGTTATTTAATGATATGTGTTTTCTTAGATTCTCAAACACAAAGTGTCGTTGCTTGAAGTGAGTAATGCTGAATTACAACGGAAACTTCAAGAGAGACGACTCACCTGTGAACACTTGAATCAATGTGCTGTTGATGCTCAGGTTATTAAGTTTTCATGTTTCTGTAATTATTATACTCTTTGTGATTTGTTTTTTCTTTGATTGCAATTGAGTCAATAATTCAGGTTGAAAAGGACAAATTGATAATGCAAATTGAATCAGCTCGAAATGGTAAATCCTGGGATGAGATTGACTCCAGTATAAATCAGGTTTGGGTGAATTGATTGTTGCAGATTATTGTCACTTTTGACATATAAAAATCTTTTTCTGACACAGTTTTAAAAGCACTTTCAGGATTATGAATTAGTCAAAATGTATGTGTCAAAAATTCAAGAGCTGGAAGGAGAGTTGTTGCATTTGAAAAACTTGTCCACCTCAAAGCCTAATCAATTTGTTGATTATCTCGACTCAGATGATGAGAGGTTCCGCCCAAAAGATGATTTACTGCAATCTCTAAATGAGCTTTCATCCAATTCTGACACTAAAGCAGCTGACATTTCAGGTAATGTATAAGAAACTTTAACTCATTTTGTAGTGCATTTGTTAGTTTTCTTATTTTATATTCTTGAAAAAGCCTTTTCTCCATTTTCCTGCTTCATGAAATGAAGACACTGCCTTCAAATAACTTGGTAAAATTGTTGTTTGGTTGATGAATATCTGTTTTTAAATGTTGACAATGCTGGTCTCATTTGCGCCAAAACCATGCCCTTTTTTTCTGGCAGCTTTATGGGTAGGTCACACAACATCATTGATCAGTGAATTTATGCCTTTGATAACTGTTGATGCTCAACATCCTTTTATTTGTCGTTTCTGGTTTTGGCAGTCAACTTTGCATTTTATTTCACGTATGAGATGTAGCTATATATCTAATTGTTGAAAATATTTTCTTTTGATTCAAATGCAGATGAAGTTGAAGACGAGGAGAAAGAGCATGAGCATTCTTCTCTGCAAGAAAAATTGGACAGGGAGCTGAAAGAATTGGACAGAAAACTAGAACAAAAGGAGGTAAAACCAGCCAGCTCAACTCCTAATTTTTAGTATAACCGTTCCTTTTCATTCTTGTGTTGTTAGATGTAAAGCTATATATTTTTTTGGCTACTGCTGTTTTCTGCTCAATAAAGGAGCTGTCAATTCATGAGATGGAAGAAGATTTTGGACCACAAAAGTATCTTAATGATCAACCTCATAGAAACTTTAAACCCCTGCTAGTTCTGGCTTAAAATTAAATGTAGGAACAGTAGTGCATGTGATGTTTTAACTGTCGAGGAGCAGCAGTTCTTATTTTTATTATAAAATTTGTTGGCATTTTGACCATTGTCCTTCATTTTTTTTTCTTTAAATTTTTGAAGGCTGAAATGAAGCGTTTTACAAGGATGGATACTTCAGTTCTTAAGCAACATTATGAGAAAAAAGTTCAAGACTTAGAACAAGAAAAGAGGCTTTTGCAGGTCAGTGCTTATATGTCCACATGCTATGTTTTAAGTTTTTCAGGGTCATGCTTGTATACCTATTTCCATCTTTGTTGTCAATGCACAGAAAGAGATTGAGGAATTGAGATACAATCTTGCCAATATATCATCTACTTCTGATGACGGTGCTAAAAAATTAAAGGAAGACTATCTTCAAAAGTTGATAGTCCTTGAGGCACAGGTGAGTTTGCACAGACCTATACCTGTCAATCGCAATTATTCTTGGTTTCATATTCTGCTTTGCAGGTAGCGGAGTTGAAGAAGAAACAAGATGCTCAAGCTCAATTATTGAGACAAAAACAAAAGAGTGATGAGGCTGCAAGACGACTAAATGAGGAGATTCAGAGAATGAAGACTCAAAAGGTGCGACTGTGATAGACAGAAGGTTTGCTTTTAGTTTATGTATAAGTCAGCTCTTTGAGCTACAATATCCATGCACCTATTTGTTTCCAGGTTCAACTTCAACATAAGATCAAACAGGAGTCTGAGCAATTCAGGTTATGGAAGGCATCAAGGGAAAAAGAAGTTCTTCAGGTACAGTAAAGAAAGATATTGTCTATCCTATAAATGTTTAATGTATGATCCTAAAAAAGCTTTAGATAAAATCATTTTCTTATAAAAGGGGATTGTGTTTATCGAAGGTGTAGAAAGGCAACTGTACACAAAGATTTTCCTTCATAACGATTAGACATCCTTTTATTTTCTTTTCCTAGGAAATGTAATTGTTAAAGGAAATTGTATTTATATAGATCCTTGATGATTGCTTGCATGCCTACGTAGATTATTGATGTTGTGAAAACTGATTCTCTTTGGAATGCATTTTTTATTCATTTCCAGCTTAAGAAAGAGGGTAGGAGAAATGAGTACGAGATGCACAAGTTGTTAGCTTTGAATCAGAGGCAGAAAATGGTAATTGCTGTGCCCTCAGAAAGCTATATCTAATTTACACAAGTGTTACATTCTGTTCTGGTATTTCAAAACAGGTCCTACAAAGAAAGACAGAAGAAGCTGCCATGGCTACAAAAAGGCTAAAAGAGCTTTTAGAATCAAGAAAGATGTCACGTGAAACTTTCGGTTGGTAGATTTACTACTTCCTGCCTTCTTTTTTGTTTTCTATATATAATATTTTGTTGAAAATTTTCTATCCTATACAGGTGTTGGAAATGGCAATGGCCCTGGAGTTCAGGTACTACTGTTAGTCTTGAGACAAAGAATTATGCATTTTGAATGTACGTAGATAAATACGCTTTGGTTAGTTGTTTAGTTGTTTTTGTAAGATTTGGTTCTAACATAATCTATATTGAATGCGAAGTCCCTAATGCAGGCAATTGAGCATGAACTTGAAGTCACATTACGGGTACATGAAGTGCGTTCTGAGTACGAGCATCAACTGCAAGTGTGAGTAGTGATTTTGCATATTGACTTCATGCATATTTTGTAAAAATCTTCAAATGCTGTTCGTTTATTTATTTTCTGTGAAAAATATCGGTATCTTCATCAGCATGTAGTGAGAGGATGTACTTGATTTGTTACCTTGATTATTTTTCTATGCATTATCCAAATGAAAGGCATCTTTGAGGCTGTCTTTTAATCCCGTTTTGACAATAGCTAATTTAAGTACTCTTCTTGTTATTTCAGGAGAGCTAGAATGGCCAATGAAATGGCAAGGTTAAAGGAAGAAGGAGAGATACTAAAACAAACTAATTCAAAGTGATTCCATTTTTTTTCTTTCTTGACTTTCCTTAATGGCACCTTATGACCTTGTGTTAATACAATCATTTTCAGGCAGCTAACAATTAGATTCTTCGCTTTAATAATGCAGTATTTGCCCCCCAACAATGTCTCCTGGAGCTAGAAAGTCGAGGATTTTTGCTCTTGAAAACATGCTTGCTGCTTCTTCTAGCACCTTGGTTTCCATGGCATCACAATTGTCTGAAGCAGAAGAGTGTGAACGGGGCTTTAGTGGAAGGGGGCGTTGGAATCATGTTCGGTCACTTGCTGAAGCAAAAAATGTGATGAATTATCTGTTCAATATAGCATCCTCCTCCAGGTAAATTTTTTTTGAGAAGTCCATTATTTGTACTGGCTAGTTTCTTTTCACCTTGGTGTTGCATGATGTCTGCAATAGATTTATCTGAAATTTTCCTACTTTTCTAGGTGCTTGTTGTGGGATGAAGAAGTTGTCTGTAGAGAAAAGGATACGGAAATAAGAGATCTGAAGGAAAAAGTGGTGAAACTTAGTAGTCTAGCGAGGCATCTTGAAATCCAGAAGACGGAACTTATTCATCAAGTGAAGTCAGAGGTTAGTTATTACCTTTTCTTCTATCCTGGTAAGTTGCACAAAGACAGTTGCACAAAGACACATTCAAATAGGAAAGTGGATTAAATTTCTCAATATCAGCTTTGCTTACTGTCTTTAGTATGCTTTCATATGTAGTGTAAGTTGAAGACAATTGCAGGTCATCAAATATTGTTGTAGTAACTTATCTTATCCATTGTATCTTGTTGGAATCTAGCACTTTGGATTTTTGAAATTTGCTAAATGTTTTCTAACTTCAAAATTATCCTCGAACTTCCTAGTTTTATTTGTTGAACTGACATTCTCAATTTGTTTAATATTGAATGATTTTAATTAACAGAGTTCAGCCTTGAAAAAATACTCCGTCAAAAGTGAGGCCGGTTCTTAAGAATATAAGCGTGACATGCATAGATATTTACAGATATAAGCTTGTATTTTGACACCGGTTCTTAAGAATATAAGCGTGACATGCATAGATATTTACAGATATAAGCTTGTATTACTAAATTGTCTTATAAATGAATTGTTAGCTATTCCCTAACTTCATGAACCTTTTTATTCATTTGTTTTTGTTTATTCAGGCGCAACAGAGCACCCCCATCATATTGGATGATATGGATACATCTGAATCAGAACATTTAGATAATAATATGACAGATGATGAATGGGTACAATCAGAGAAAGAGGCGACAGATGATGAATGGGTAATGTCAGGGAAACAGCGAGGAAAGAAAAGAAATTCCAAAACCAAAGGCCGTTCAAGTACAGGAGATATCCATGATCAAGAAAACTGCATATCAGATTGTTCTGGTGAGGCAGCCACTACTGTTCAAGCATGTTGTGCTTGTAGTAAATACTCTTCATGCAAGACATCCAAGTGCCAATGCCGAGCATCTGGGGGTTTTTGTGGGATATCATGTGGCTGTATGCCAAATAAATGTTCTAATAGAGGAGCTCTCGAGATAAATGATTCGACACTTGGATCTAATGAAACAGAGAAGAATCAGGTCCTTGTTTCTCAGGGTGCAATGCTGCTACAAAGTGCCCTAGTTGAGAAGCCTGTGGAAACAAACGACGATAGTGTGGTTAGAAGGAAGCCTCTATCAGACATAGGCAATAAAGTGGTACGTTCGTTTTGGAGTAATCAAGTGGTGATTCTTAGTTCTGCAAGTACATTGATGCACATTGCCTTTTTTTTTTAGATCAAGCTCATGATCAATCTTGATTAACTCAGTTTGTGTTTTTCCTCTTATCTCTAATGAGTTTTAATTCATGTAACCTTCAGGCCAAATCCAATGCACCAAAGGCAAACCAGAGAAAGAAATGGCGGAAATCAGTAATTCAGCTCGTTCCTGTTCCCCCACCCAGTACAAAATCAGAAAACACTGAAGCCGCCCCCCAAAAGGCGGTGGGATCAAATGCACCAAATGGTGCAAGTGAAGCAGATAGTAGTGTAATTGAGGCAGAAATTCCTTTGAAGCTGCCGAGGGCTATGCGATCAGCTGCACCAAATGTTGGCATCCTTTTGAGAGAGAGGAATGCTGATCAAGCAGAAGAATCAGTAAATAAGGAGGCTGTTGTGCTTCCTACAAGAAGCAGCCCCCCCCGCCCGAAAAGAAAATCTGATGAGAAAGAGAACTGTGGCCGCTAACTTCAGCTTGCATACCATTATCTCCATCAAAGAGCCATTACACTAACCATTAAGCTTATTTTTCTTTTTTGACTGGATTTGTTTGGGAAAATGGAGTTGGAGATGTAACTGAGTATGATCAGTTGGTACTCGACTCTTTGCTCGGTTGTGAAGGAAGATTGTGTAGTTGATTTCTTTCTGGAAATCAAACAATACAGTTAGATCAGGACTCTGTCATATCTGTCTCTCCAATGTGGTGCTAGATTCCTAATTGTTTTCTACGAACTCTTTATTTTTTTTTTTT